ATTTGTATTTCTTGGCGTGTTATTCAATTTTCAGTTTTCACACGTCTTTCTACTTTAGCTGGTTTATCAGAACTCTCAAGACACTGTTTTTATGGGTTAATTGCAAGGGCTGCCCCTAGATTTAGTGTAAATGCAGAGATATCTCTTGAAATTTGACTGCCCTTATTACAAAGCCCAAACTTTTCAGGGGGGTGCTTATAAATTTGACCAATAGTCAACAATGGTCCTGATGGCTGGTTTTGCTAGAATAGGCAATAATGAGATCACCATTTTAGTAAAATGGAGCTTTCTGTGAGTAGACCTAACCTCAGGGTAGCTTTTGCAATTGTTTTTTGATTCTTCTTCATTGCAGGCCCTTACTGGATATTGCATAAAAGATTCATTGAATTTATTTATTTATTTATTTTTGCGATTGACAGGATTTTGACAAAAAGTATGGGAATGGATGGCAATGTGTGGTGGGATCCAACTTTGGGTGTTTTTTCACACACAAAAAGGGGAGTTTCATATATTTTACACTTGAGACCCTCAATTTTCTCATCTTCAAAGGTGCTGCCTCTCCTTGAGTAAATAAAATAGCTAGCTAAGAAGGAACTGTAATATTTGGGAGCACAAAAAGAAGGTCCAGTGGATTATATCTCCTAGCTTCTATCTTTTTTTTTTTTTTATTTTTTATTTTTTTTTATTTTTCTTTCTATGCTTAGTGGGGAATATTTCACTTTGAGAATCATAATGTTAGGATTGTAGAATGAAGTGAATATAATGCAACTTTCTCATTTCTCTTTATTGAACGCCTCTCCTATTTAACTTCAACTTGTTCAAGTATGGTATAATGTAAGATTTATCCAGAAAATGATGGTAAAATGTAAATAAATGGGAAAAAAGGAAGAATTCATTTGAAGCATTTTAAGATACTATGAAAGGCTACTGGAATTCATAGGGGCCAATGGTGTAACAAACTAACAAAAGATATCTTTACACACTCAACTCAATAATTCATAGGGGCCAAATGGTGTAACAAACTAACAAAAGATATCTTTACACACTCAACTCAATAATGGAGAACAAAGAGTCCAACTATATTTTTAGAATTACAAGAATCCCTATATATTTGCCTTTATTTTACAATTTGCACCCTGGTCCCTAGGCAGTGCAAGTCTATTTCAAGACTCAAGGCAGTATTTACAAACATTTTAGGCAAAATTCGTAATTTTCGGCCAAATAGCTTCCTTTTAAGTAAGTGCTCACTTAATAAACAAGCTTGATTAGATGTATTCGAGCTCGGGTCATTTGAGTAAATGAACAAGTTGAGCTCAAGCTTTCACGAGCCGAATCAAGCTATGTTCGCGAACTGTTAGGTCGCGTTAACAACTCTAGTTAGGCTATACCATAAGCATCAAACCAACATTCAACTACTTATTAGATTTTCATGAGCCAAAATTTCTCAGCAAAATGAATACACTCACAATGAAAAGCAGGATTTTCTCAGTCAAAACAATCAATATTCTCCAAATTCTATACTTGGCAACTAATATCTGCCTCCA